CCTGCCATGATGCCTTCACAATGCTCCCAGGCCCAAAGAAGCCAGGGTGTGTCGTAATCACAATACTGCCTATCGCGGCCTAAGATGAGTAGGCCATACACATAGTCAATGTGTCGCGCCACGCTCAAGATGAATGCCATGGAATGCCATACTGCCAGCTCCGGATCTCTACCAAGGACAAGAGCCAGCAACACCAGCACCAACGCCAGCCAGGGGCCAGCAACAAGGCAACCACAGCAGCGGCGGCACACCATCACACGGCTTGGGCGGGCAGAAAGGTGGCGACAAATGGACCTCTGACGGCGACATCAATGCTGAAGATGAGGAGACCGGCCATCAAAGCAACAATCCCTACTATCGCCCAGTCTCACGAGCGGCACCTCAGGCACACATCCGCAAGCAGTTGCTAACTTCACGAATTCCGACTCTACCTATAGTCTCCATCGTACTTATAAAATCCTTCCTATATAATTGGTTAAACGAAAAAAGGAACTAGAGTGGAGACTATAGGTAAGGTCTAAGGTCTCCATGACCCGGCCTCCTCGACTTCGGCGTCGCCGACCGAGAGCTCCAGTAGCCGCCGGGCCCAGGAGGCAGTGAGCAAAGCTTCGGCGAGGTCGCCAAGCCTTGACAACACTATGCTTTCTTGACAACATAAGGTTTTTTGACAAGATTCTGTTTAGGGATTAGGGAGCTTAGGGTTTAAGGTCTTGGACATCGGTAGCAGCAAGGAGAAAGACAGTGCCAAAACATTGCAGTAGTATGTGCTACTGCTCACGATCAGGGATACCCATAGGCCCCGTAGTAGTTCCTTTTTGGGGCTCATAAATAAAATTATACAAGGTAATCCCAAAAAGGAACTACTATGGAGCCTCTGGGTAGTACTAGGATGAACTCCTCTTGAGGAGCTTTTGGGCTCTACGGCTTTGGGGCTAAAGGGGTAGTTTTCTAAATTAGGGTCTTTTTTGGGGTCCTTTTTATAAGGGTGCCGTACTATATTGGGGACCCAAAACAGGAACCCTAATATAGAAAACTACAAAGAGTTTTTGGAGGTTCCGGGGAGTTGGGGCCTTGGGATTTGGGATGGGAGGCGCAGGTGCTCGGGGTAAGGACATGAGGGTTTAGAA